GACAGCCCCGTTGAGCTGCCAGCGTGGTGTGAGCCGGAACTTGGCCTTGAGGAGTTTAGCAGAGTCGGCGGTGGGGGAAGGGAGGGACCTCTGACAGCCCAGGGGCAAGATGAACCCCCTGCACATGCTGCTTTCTATTTGCAGAAAAAGCACTCAGTGATTTGGGGGCGCGCCTAAGAGACCTGGGTTCGATTCTGAGGGGTGGGGCTCCGTTCCCAGCGATACAGGGGCGACGGCATCCCCTGCCTGAAAACTAAACTAGGAAAACTAAACTAAATAGTTCAAATAATGCCCCAAAATAATTAAAAAGTGAAGACGCGTTGTAGGTCAAGCAGCCGCTGCAGACTGACTTTGTACGTTTCCTGTTTTGGGATGATGTGTGGAGTCTGCGTCGTGCACCGTCATAAATGCAAACTGTGCACGTAAATTGAGGGGTTTTAGGAGCTCTCTCACATGAAAAGAATGGTTGTAAATGCAGGGAGTTGTAAGTCGGGCGGTTGTAAGTCGGGGGTCGCCTGTATATTTAAACTCGAGCTGGAAATCACACCCGCACCGCAAGCGTGGATGGACCCCCTCAGACATGCTCTACATGGGCCTGGCAGACAGGGCGAGAGCTGTGAAGGGGTCGTGTCCCCGTTTTGACCAGTCTGAAGGCACACCTCCAAGAAGGGACTCCAAGAGTCCATGTCTGTAGGCCCCCGTCTCTAAGCACGCCCGTACGGTATTTCCCAGAGGTGGGAATGGAGCCCAGCAGTCCTGACGCGCAGCCCCTGCTCCAACCTCTGACAGGCACGCTGCAGCTTTACTGGTCCAAACTGACGTTTGTTGCAGCCAGAGTCATCAACAATTCCATACATACAAGATGGGAAGCGACTGTCTAGGAAGGAGCATGGCAGAAAGGGATCTAGGGGTCATAGTGGACCACAAGTTGAATATGAGTCAACAGTGTGATGCTGTTGCAAAAAAAGCAAATATGATTCTAGGTTGTATCAACAGGTGTGTTGTAAGCAAAACTCGTGAAGTCATCCTGCCGCTCTACTCTGCACTAGTTAGGCCTCAGCTGGAGTACTGTGTCCAGTTCTGGACGCCACATTTCAAGAAAGATGTGGAGAAATTGGAAAGGGTACAGAGAAGAGCAACAAGAATGATTAAAGGTCTAGAGAACATGACCTATGAAGCCAGGCTTCATGAACTGGGCTTGTTTAATTTGGAAAAAAGAAGATTAAGGGGGGACATGATAGCAGTTTTCAAATATCTAAAAGGGTGTCACAAGGAGGAAGGAGAAAATGTGTTCCTCTTGGTTTCTGAGGACAGGACAAGGAGTAATGGGCTTAAAGTGCAGCAGGGGAGGTTTAGATTGGACATTAGGAAAAAATTCCTAACTGTCAGGGTGGTCAAATATTGGAATAAATTGCCAAGGGAGGTGGTGGAATCTCCCTCTCTGGAGATATTTAAGAACAGGTTAGATAGACATCTGTCAGGGATGGTGTAGACAGAGCTTGATCCTGCCTTGAGGGCGGGGGGCTGGACTCGATGACCTCTCGAGGTCCCTTCCAGTCCTATTATTCTATGATACACATAATTTTCCTATAAATAGGTGCAGGAGGTTTTATCTATATTTTGCTATTATTTGTCTTTACGTAAATGTACTAGTCTGGTAATGACATTTTCCATGTGCCTCACAAAAAGAAAGTTTAGATGTAATTTCCTCAAGCTATGGCACATGGAATAGTATTGAATAAAATTGAAATTGATGTACATGTTAAAAATTGCTGAACTTTAAATTAGTATAATAAAATGGAATTCCACATAAGGAATTTATTGGCATCTACTGAAGTTGATATAATAGTTTTTGGTCCCGTATGTGTGGAGATTTATTTTGATTTAACAGAATAACCCTATAGAGGAGTTTTAGGTTTCAGTAAGTGCTCTCTGAATTGGGGTCATAGTTTTTGTTTTGTTTACTTCAGAAATACATACTCATTTTAAAATTAAATTATCTATAAGTTCTCTTACTGCTGAGTAAATTAAATTGTGTATAACTAGTAAAGGATGATGGCAGTCAGACTTGAAATATAATTTAAATTATGTCATCCTTGCTGCTTCAATGGATTCAGAAGGGGATTTTCAAATTCCATCTTTTACTTTCTTCATTATTTTCAGTACAATGCTTCCATAGTAGAGAATTTTGTGTGAAAATATTCCAAACTAGCTGGAGTTACCTGGCATTGCTTGGGAAACTGGAGGAACAAAATGTAGAATAACAGTAGTCCATTATCTTTTTTTTTTCATGGTAGAAAAGTTGCACTGATTTCTATAGGGATTAAAATATAGGTCCATGTCAGTCTCCAGAGGGAGGGGGTTACACGCAGGAGGGGTGCCCCAGCCCAGCTGAGTTGCTGCTCCTCCCTTTCCCCCCACAGCCCAGCTGAGCTGAGCGCCAGCTCCAGCTGACCACGCACTGGCTTCCTACCCCCTCTAGCTCCTGCAGTGCACTGGGATTCTCTGGTACTGGGACACCTGAAGTCCTTCTGAATCAGGGACGTTGCCGGACCAGAGAGACCCGGTGTATAAAGATACAACCTGTAGAGCACAAAGCCGGGGTCCTCCTATGAAAGTGGTATAGCTACTGAGACAGGCAAATGGACAGCCGGTACACCCGGGTTCCCCCACTCGAACTGTTCATGGATCCTAAGCTCAGAAGGGACCATTGTGATCGTTGTAGTCAGACTTCACCTTGGCATGGTGGAATTCGGGGGGTTACTCTAATTCGGACGGATAATAGCAAGGATTTTAAAGAATTTTTCCTTGTAGCCAATTTAAATGTTCATGTTGCAGGAGATAATGGGGTGGAGTTTGAGTGCTCTCTCTTTAACGAGGGTGATCCTCAAGATGTACAAAGTTCAAGCTACAAGCACGAATTGACAACACCACCAGTTGAAACATACAACGTCAATAGCCTTAAATCAAACTTGTACATTCCCAAGCGGCATGTTTCTAACTCGGCCGTTCTGTGCAGCACAGTGACCACTGCCGGAAATATTTTCCATCGGCTGGTGTGGTTTCCGTGGAATCTCCAGTCTAATGTACTAGTGATGATAACACAGGCTTTAGAACTTCCCCAAGCTAATTCCTACAGCAGATCTGTGAGAGAACCACCCCAGCTCTGTTTAAAAACGGTCAGTGAATGGAGAATGGCCCTTGCAGGTATTGCCAAAGCATTGTTCAGAATGTGCTAGCTTTTCCTTTGATCGTTTCGCCTTTTGACAGGCTGTATCTGCAGCCCAGTTCTGAAACCCCGGTGTGTGATATAGAATGGATGAAATTCTGGCCTCGTTGAAGTTGATGGCAAAACTCCCATTGATTCACCCTGTATCTTTAGCCAGCCTCAGTCAAACTGCAATCATTCTCCCATATCTCTTCCTTGTGCACTATTACAGCAGAAAGTCGGGTAGGAAAGCCAGTTCTTTTCCCCCCGTCTCTCGCAACCGAGGTTTGTTCATTTCATTTTCTTTCTGACATCCTTAGGTCGGTGAAAGAACTCTGGAAACTTCATTGTGAGATTGAGGTAAAGCACTGTCAGGAACAGCTGGTATGGCTCTTTGATTCTTTTTTGGCAGGCCTGCTTTGATGCTCACCGAGGTCCGTAGAAATCCAGTTACTCAGGTCAGAAGACGGGGAGAGGGCAGACGAGGGATCCCGGTTCGAGTCCTGACTCTTCCATTGGCTTGCTGGACGACCTTGGGAAACCACTTGATTGCTGTGCTGTTTCCCGGGAGTGTTGGTGTTCACCCACTGTTGGAAACTACTTTGAGATGGGTGGTTGAAAGGTGCCAAGTGAAATATGATGGACGGGCTTTGAGAAAAGCCTGGAAAACTGCTGTTCTGAAACTGTAATAATGGGATGTCCCAGAACCTCCCCTACACACGAACACTTATAACGGTGTTTCATGGCAGAGCCCCACTGAGGCTATGCTAACTCAGAGAGACCATTGGTCTCTGCGGGAAAGGGTAGTTGTTTCATAGGATCCAGCAGGGACTTGGATCTAGTCCTGGGTTTATAGTTGCCTGTATGTTCTTGGAAGGGTCATTTTTATGAACCCATTGAGGTGGTTTTCTCCGTAGGAGTACTGCCAAAGATTCATCGCCGAATGGAGGAAGCTGGATCTGGATGTGATGCTGTGTCCGGCTCTGGGCCCTGCTTTTCAGATTGGATTTCCTGGGAAGCTCTCAGGTAGAACTCCTCGGGAGTCCTAGAGTCTGGCCCATCTCGGCTCTTTGGGTTGTTCAAGGAACTGACTCCTCGGTTATTGTTCTCTCTGTCTCGCAGTTCGCTGTGTATTGTCTGGAGCGTAGCCTACCCCTCAGAGCTGCTGTCTGTCCATCTCCGATCTACCTAGCACTAGGATATTTTTCACCAGGGAAAAACCAGGGTGTTCGCAGCCCCCTGGAATCACAGACATCCCCTTGGGATTTTCCCCCGGAGTGAGCATGCCACTGACCGCCCACCCTCTGGGGCTCCCACCACTCTGTCCTGCTGGACCGGATCCTCTGGTCTCCCCCAGGCAAGGCATGGAGTTGGGGCTACCTCGCCCCTACAAAGCAACACAGATGCTGAACCAGTCCAGCTATAAGGGCTCAACACTCATAAGAACATAAGGCTGTACTGGGTCAGACCAAAGGTCCATCTAGCCCAGTAGCCTGTCTGCCGACAGTGGCCAATGCCAGGTGCCCCAGAGAGGGTGGACCGAAGACAGTGATCAAGCGATTTGTCTCCTGCCATCCCTCTCCAGCCTCTGACAAACAGAGGCCAAGGACACCATTTCTATCCCCTGGCTAATAGCCTTTTATGGACCTAACCTCCATGAAATTATCTAGCTTCTCTTTAAACTCTATTATAGTCCTAACCTTCACAGCCTCCTCTGGCAAGGAGTTCCACAGGTAACCAACCCCCATAAGGGACCAAACCCCCAAATAAATCCACCTTCCTTTTTGAAAAAGTTTTCCACAGAGAAAGCTCATAAGTAGGTCTGCCCACTTTATCAATGAAAGATACACACACAGTTGTTCCCTTCTCCCCCAAGCCCCCCTTCTGCTAACAGTTATTTACACTGCTGACTGATAAAAGTGTTTTTATCAAGTATGAAAAGTAGGATTTAAGTGGCTGCAAGTGAAACCAGTCAGATCAAAGTGAAATGAACAAAAAACACTTCGCTAGTTCTGATCTGCTAAGAAACCGGCTACGTGCAAATTCCTACGCTAACCAGCTGTTCTTATCTCGGGTAGATAGGTTCAAGTCAGAGTTGCTCTTTACTCTGGCCTGGGTCTACAACTTCTTCAAAGTTCTAGGGTGGGCCAGGCAATTTCAAAGGGCAGCAGAAGGCAAAGAGGAAAATGGATTCCCATTGCTTAAATAGACTTTTTCC